TACAGGTGATGATAGGAACACTGTAGAGCAGGCATGCGCTGTGGGACTAAGGGCTCATGGAGCGGGCATGCCGCAGTACAGGTGATGATAGGAACACTGTAGAGCAGGTATGCGCTGTGGGACTAGTGGCTAATATAGCAATACTAGCCAAGGGAATGAGTACAAAATGATGAGAAAGCATATAAATTATTTTATAAATTTTCTCCAGTAAACTTAAAAGTCTGTAGTAGTGTAATGAACACTTGGCTTAAAAATATGTAAACATATATTTATGTGTCACATGTACACAATGTATGTGCATACAGCATACACACACAAACACTTGGACAGAAAAATCAGGTTTACATCATGAATCTTCTAGAAAAAATAAAGTAATATCAAATGTTACCACTTGAGCTACTTTTGTCTTTTTCTATGCACAGGCTTAAAATTGTTATTTTAGATGTGTCTCACAAATTTCAGGGAGAGCTGCACAAAACACCACTGAGGAAGATTTCAAAGGCTGAGAAGGAAATTGGGAAGAAAATCACATCTATAATAGTTTCAAGAGAAAAATAAAATAGCAAGGCATAGATATAACCAAGGTGGAAAGAACTCTAAATGGAAACCGTGAAAGACTGAAGGAAGAGTGGAAGAGGCCACTGGAGGATGCAGAGTGCTCCCATGGCCAAGGATCAGCAGAACTGATATTGTTCAAATAGCTATGCTACTGAAAGTGAAAGTGATTGATGGGTTGAACGCAAACCTTGATGAAAACTCTAGTGACATTTCTCAGAACTAGAGGAAATGCTGAAATTAATATACAAGTATAGATTATTCCAAATACCACAAACAACACAGAGCAAAAGAAGATAAAAATGAGACTTTATTCAAACTGTTCTGCAGAACCATAGGAACAAAACGAGCACAGTACTGGCCCCCAAACAGGTAAGTAGAACAGTGGAAGAGAACAGAAGACTTAAATAAATCCATACAGTGACAAGCAGTTTGTTTTCAATAAAGATATCAAAAGCATATATTAGAGAAAAAAAACAGCCCTTTCAAAACTTGTGCTGGGAAAAATGGATATTAAGATGCACAAGAGTGTCTCTCACCCCGTACAAAACTACCCAAATGAAACAATAAGTGTAATGTAAGAGCTAATACTTCAAAACTGTCATGAGAAAACATTTCAAGACAGATTCTTAGACAAAGACTGTCTGAAAAGGACCCCAAACAGCCCAGAAAATAAAGTCAACAACTGACAAATGAGACTTCATGAAATAGAAGTGTTTCTTTCTGTTCAGCAAAGAAAACAATTAAAACAGTGATGAGACAGCTAACAGAATGAGAGGAAGTCCTGGATAGATATTACTTTAATGAGGGATTAATGTCTAGAATATATAAAGAAGTCAACAAATTAATTCTCAAAAATAAACATACAGATGAATCACACAGACAGCTCTCAAAAAAAAAGAGAGAGAGAGATACATGCTCAAAATATTTTTTTAAAGGTTCTGCATAGAGAGTCCATCTCAGTCAGAATGACTTTAATCTGGGAATCAAACGACACTGGCAAGAATATGAAGAAAGAGCCTTTATTCCTTACTGGTGGGAATATAAAATATGCAGCTATTATATGCAAATAAGAATGGATTTCCTCATGAAGTTGAAACCAGCACAACTCTCCTGGTATATACCTGAAGGACTGTGTTCAAATACCATAGAGAAGCATGAGTGATGTTCAAATACTACAGGAATGCCCAAGCATCACATCCATTATAGCACTAATCACAGTAGTCAGGATACGGAAATAATTTAAATGCCAATCAACAGATGAACATCAAAAGAATATGTGGTACTTAAACATAATGAGGGTCACTAAGCCAGAAAATGTGTAAAACTATAACTCATTTTGTTAAACAAAACAACCTAGGCCCAGTAAGAAAAATAACACATTTTTTCCCTCTCAAATATTGTATAGGTAACGATCGAGTGTTAGATGATAGGTTAGATAGATGGGTAGATAGATGATTTGTAGATGATAGATTGGTGGTGATAATGGTAGATAGCTAGACTGATAAATGCTACAGATATGTAGATACAGCTATAAATAGAGATAAATGGGTAAAGGCTATTTGGAGATGGATGACTCACAGGAAGAGGGAGGGGGAAGGAGGGTTATGATGTGTGATTAACAATGCACAAAACTTACACGTATGGAAACATCAACATGAAAGACATCATTTTGTACATTATGTTTCAAGTTTAAAATTAAAAATATTAAATGAAAACAGATGTAACTGATGAAAATGGTGCAGTAGCGTGGAAGACAGAACTCTATTTTAAGTGCTCCTATTACCACAGTTGTCGCAGATCCTCTGAGAAGACAGAATTCCAAAGGGACAGAGTAGAGTGATTCTCAGGCAGCTGTGTCAGGTACATCACTTCATGGGCTACAACCCACTCTTTCTAATGCTTAACCAGCTCAATGTGCTAATTTAAAAATTACATGTGTGTAGTGGGGAGCTGTTCCAGCTTTGACCTTGAAGCATCGTTCCAGTGAGGCAGCTGGTAACTGCCACACCTACCTAGGACCTGCCCCTGGGGTATGGCTGAGACAGGAGCCCTTAAGACCTGAGATCTGGATGTGCACGCTCTCTTGGCTCCTAGTGATCCTGGATGCTGGATCTGCTGGATCGCAGACCAAGTCAGAGTTCTCCAGGAAACCAGGCTGGACTGCACCTCACCTCTCCCAGATCCTGTAATCAACCCCTTTACTGGCTGGCTGTAAGTTACCCCAAAATAAACCTCCTTTTAACTACCAGATAAACTATGTGGGCTTGCCTTGTTAGATCCCCACGTTACACGTGGGCCAAGCCGTTAATTCCAGCACTCAAGAGGAAAGACCATCAGATCTCTGTGAATCCAAGGCCAACCTGGTCTATGGAGAGAGTTTCAAGCCAGGCAGGGCTAGGTACTGAGACCCTGCTTCAAATAAACACAAAAACCAAACAAACTATGTGTGGGCTGAGACTCCAGATCCTTAGGAGATCATTTGCAAGGCCCTGTGTTCAGTCTCTACCTTCATACACAAAGCACGTTACTTTTCTTTTACAGAGAAAAAGTCTGTCATGACTGATGAGTTTGATTTTCTTGTATACACTACACCATGTTATACGATTCAGGACTAAGAACAATATTATCTGTTAGGTGCCTGGATAGAGATTATGCCCTGAGCACACATAAAACACAATTTCTGCCACTATTAAAAAGACGAATAACACAGACAAAACATAAACATTAGACAAGCTTTTAATGCTAATCTCTAAAACACAATACTGCATATTACATTAGCCTAGATTTATTGAAATTCATCTTAAACAATTGGACTTTTTTATTATTGGTTTTTGAAAAATAAGCAATCTGAAAACTTCTTGGTTAAATTCTCCTTGCTCTCTTCTGTGATAAACCAAGACAGATAATAAGTATTTATTAATTTCAATGAAAGGAAATACATTTAATCTAGAAAATCAATAAAAACAACCCTCAGTAATTTCCTCAATATATCCAAGGTCATAAGATCCTAGTTCTAATAATTCATTTAAGCAATATAGTTTGAGCCAGAGACAAAAGTCACATGCTCACAGAATTGAGGGATACTTGGCTGGAAGTCATCGGTTTTAGATGACATTTGCTTCTGCTCCAGACATAGAGGAAACAGGCCATGGCTTGCTCATCAGTGTGTGTGGGAGCCTGTGTTTAGTCATTTCAAGAAATTTCCTGAATACCTTCTCTGATAAACAGAACAGTACAGTTTCGTGTGCTTCTATTGTTTGAGTTACAAATAATCCACTATTTTGAACCTAAAATTTTCAGGGAAAAAAACAGGAAACAATGTATGGAAAACATTTACTTTGAAATTATAAGTATTCTTCAACACACAATTAGGGCAAAGGTGGTCAAATGAAACAATGGAAATGCAATTTCATGAATTTTTTACGGGACAGCATGCTGATATATCACAAGGTTACATAAACTACTAAATCTTTTATGCCCACAACCACAAGTAGCAATGTCAGAGTAAGAACAATAAGAAGTAAACAGGAATTAAGTTCATCTGTAGTACAGCCCAGTGTTCCACTGTATTCCTGTGGTTCAAGTGTTTTTAGACCTTACCTGTCTAAGTGAGGCTGCTGTGCATGACATACATCTTCATGGCATCATGGCTGTGTATGATACATCCTCATGGCAAATGACTAGGGAGGCTGCTCCTTCCAGAGCACTGCCTGGTATAAAACTCCTTTCTCCAACATCTCTTTCAGGCTATATGAGTTTATTTACACATAGAGACCACCAAGCTGTTTCTGCAGAGACCAAATCAAAGTGTGTGCAGAGAAAGCCACTGAGTCTCTGATGATAGTCAGCTGTTGGGAACTTTGATGAGACAACTTACAGACCAGTTGCTCTGAAACATGAAGGCATGTTAAAATTCCTTAAAATATAAATTTAAAAAAAGTGACTGGAAGCCAATACAAGATGGTCTAATTGACAACCTATGTGGTGAGTTCCTTTGTGTCAGAATTTTTTACATACTGTAAAATGATTCTTATGGGCTGAATGCTATATACTTAATTTAAATGTGCATGTTTTTATGAGGATGTAGCTTATGCCTCCAAAGAAGGTCCCTATCTGTGCTGTTTATCAGATCGTAGTGTAAGTATTTTTAAAAAATTACTAAAAATGCATTGTTTTTTTATTTTTTGTTGTTGTTGTAATGTCAACAACTAGAATTTCCTGCTTATGAACCAAGCTGTTTGATGATAAAGCATTGCTTTCTGACAGTCTTCCCTGTGTGGCCATGGGGACTGCCTGCCGAAGGAGTTACTCTCTGCTGAGAGCTGCCTAATCATTCATTGAATTTGTTGACCTGTGTGGATCCAGTGAGCTGAGTCTACACAATGGAGCTTAGAGACAATACTTTAGTAGTCATCACTGCTAACACATGGATTGAAATGTACCTTGCTTTTTGTCCTCGAATCTGGAATCTTGGAAGCAATTGTCCTGGATGGATGTAACATCTGTGTTGGATTTGATGGGAAGAGACTGAGAGGAGGAGGCTGATCACGGAAAACTGACGTCAAGCAGAGTTGTACAGTCTCTTTCATTGCTTTCATCTGTGATTCCTGAGAGCAAGGGAAGGGTTAATATTTTTTACCTGTGGTTCTTGTTACCATTCCCCACACTGGTCTTAAACTACACTCATGCCATACAAGTACAGACAGGTTTTCAAATGAAGTCTCTTGTTCTGTTTCAATGTGGTGTCTACAGTAGGTTCTATACTAGAACACCTTGTGCCCTGCTGGTGGCATCGTTAAGGCTGTGGAACCTAGGATGAGGGAATGGGATGCTGGGAGACTGGTCTTAAGTGGAAATAGCATGAACATAATTCTGACCTGATTTTCGATCTCTGATTTGGCTCTTGCTCTGTTCTCTTGTTCTCCACTCTCACCCTCTCTTCACCTCCCTCCCTTTCTCTCTTCCCACTTCCTTCATCTTTTTCTGCTACTTGATCTGGTGAGATCTGATCAAGTATCTCAAGCTATTGCCAATGCATCTGAGAGCCATTCCTGCTACCATGTATTCCCTCCCAGAATGACCCAGGAGTGTCTCAGTCATTGTCAGGAGCCATGAATGTGGTCCAATACATTTGTATTTATGATATCATTTCACATTGCCAGCAATTTGGATACCCATGGAACCCCTCAGACCATGAGCCAGACTAAATCCTTCTGTCTTTAGGTTACTTTTCACCAGATATTTGGTTGCATTGCTGAGAAAAATAACTAACTCAGGAAATTGATGCTAAGATATGGATCTTTTGCTCTATAGACCTGATCATGTTGCCTGTAAGTCCTTGGAACTGGTTTGCAAGGGAAGATAGAGTAGTTTGAAACTTCAGATAAGTCTAAGAAACTAGAAGTAATATTTGGTAGGTGATTTTGTTGGGGATACGGGGGACAAGTATCACAGTAGAAATGAGGACGGTGAACATTGGCTCAGGAGGCCTCACAGGGCAAGAAGAATTGTATCAGACAATAATTGAGAGGTCACAGATCCTACATCCTGGCAAATACTCTGCTTATATTCTGCTTCTACAAAGAAATGTTCATGAGGATGAATTAAAAGGCAATGGCCTAACTGGTTTGATGGAGAACATTTCAAGAGGGCATAACAATCACGCTGTGGGAGGGATGCTGTTCATTGTGTTTAGTAAGGTTTCTAATCAGTCTTCAAAGCAGAAAGTGCCATAGAAGGATGTGACATATAAGTAGTTCAGTGAGAAAATGCATATGAGTGTGGTTAAAGTGGTAGGCACGGGACAGATACCAATAAACTGAATATAGCTGTTAAAAATGTTGGCACTGTTAAGGTGAAACTGCACGCTCTACATGGGGACAATAGGAAAGGACATTTAGGTTAAACCCTCACTCCTAGAGGCTTCTAGGGGAAACAGTGTAAAGCCATTTGAAAAGATAATGCTTGCACACAGGGAATTTCCACAGCATCCTTTTGACAGTCTTAGGGCTAGAGAGATGTCTCAGCAGTTAAGACTGTATACTGTTCTTATAGAGGACTGGAGCTTGGTTCCCAGCATCAGCACATGCAACACTGTCTTCTGTCCCCTGGTAGCACCAGAGTATTTGTATATAAAAAGTATTTGTATATAAATTTGTATATAAAAAGTATTTGTATATAAAATGCCCTGACCCACTACACCCACACATATAATTTAAAAATAAAAATAAATCTTAAAAAGAAAGATGGCTATTGTCCTTTAGACTTGTAAACAGTGTTGGGCATATTAAAGATTATGTGGTTTTTGACATTTGACTGACTGAATTATCAGCATGAGATGGCTATGAATATAGAGATAAAAGTCTTTAATAGAGGGTTTCAATACTGAGACCCTGCAGAAAGCAACATTATTTCCTGTTTACGTGCTTTTTTTTCTTTCATACTGTTCAGCCCATATATCTAACAGATGAGTCTTTGAGAGGTTGCAGTGTATTTTCAGTTGGTAAATAAATCTCTAAGTCAGAGCAATAACTCAACTCAGATGCTAAAAGTAATGAACAGCCATGAAGTTCAAATGATGATTTTAAAGTAAATATGTTTTGATGTATTGTGAAAGACAGTGCACATGTATTCAATTTTACTTTAGATTCCGTGTCAAATACATGTATTCAGAGGCCTCTGATCTCATCAGGAGAACTTCAGGTTAATATAGTCCACACTCTGTCTCTAACCATTCAAGGGGCAGTAGAGAATGATTTGTTCTCTGTTTCAAGCTGTTCTTAACATCTTCCTCGCTGTGTTTCATTCTTGGGACTACAGCCTGCACCAGGACCTCCTGCCTTACATTTTGGTACAGTTCTTTGTTGATAGCCTGTGTCGATACCACCAGAGAGCATGGTCTGAGATTTGTCACCAGAATTAGTGTCATTGTTTTGCTACCACTCCGATGGAGTGCCTCTAACTGAACAAACCTGTTTCTGATGCTACCAGGGTTGTGTTCACACAGGTCCAGGGACAGAATCCAGACAATAATTCAAATCCTGACAGCCCAGTCCATTACATCATCATTATACTTCCAGGATGGTCTATACCAAAGCTACAGGTAACTATTTACTTTGAAGTTCACTGCAACCAGATGTCCCTTACTGAAGTATGAGGTGACGTATGTTGCATGCTTTCCTCTGGAGCTGAAGAACTATTCTTTTCTCCGGTGATCTTGATTGACCACTTTCCCCATTGTTTTGCCCTCCACTCTTGAAGTTGCAGATTCTGTAGCTAAAATGTACCATTTTCCAGTGTACTCCAGTTATAGCTGAATAAATAATTAAGTTTCTGGAAACTCAGAACTGATTCATAGATCTTGAGGTTCTTTTGGTATAATAAACTGACACTTCATTCATTAGAAATAACATTGAGGACAAAGTTGGAATGTGAATTTTATGTGATATCACAGTATTATGTGATAGTTGATAGGTTATTTGAACACAAGGCACATGATATCTAAAAGATAAACATGCACAAAATATAAAAAATTCTCACATAAATACAACAGAGAGTGGTGAGAGCAATTTCTTTAAACTAGTTTTTTTTCCATTACAGATTGAGATAGCCTTTCCACCTGAATTTAGAGCTACATTTTTTAAATCTCATATGCATCTTGCTTGATATTTGTTGAAATCAATCTCTAATAATGTGAAAGTTTTTATAGTTCCATGTGCCAAAAAAGAGGTGACAGAATTATGAAGGTCAAAGATGAGGTGCTCATCACAGAAAAGCAATCTTATCTCATTCACTAATAATACTAATGGGTAAGTTTCTGGGTATTTTCCTTATAGAAAACTACATTCCCATCAGTGTCATTATGCATATAACAACTCAAATCACCCCTAAGATCTAAATGGTATGGTTATGAAGCATAGCACTGGGGAGATTTGAACATGGCCAGCCAAGCAAAGTGATCACTTAAACACAGGAGGACAGTCCCTGGAGACTATCTAGCCACAGCAACTCCCAGACTATGCAGTGGCAGGGTATGGGCTCACTGCACAGTGATGCTATGAGAGTGATGGATACTGGGACAAGCACACAGGGCTAAAGGTGAAGGAGTGACTCTGTAGGAGCCCCGAGTTCTGTGCCATGGGCCTATTTCTAACCAATACAGTGTGCCGTGGCTCTGCAATTTGGTGTTAGCTACAAGTATTTGCAATGCAAGATTCATTTTCTGTTATTCTATTGTCTTGTGGGTCAGAAAGTATTATTTCCTGATTGGTCCATTATATGTGGTATGGGAGCAAAGATTACATCTCATATATCTTCTGATTCCTGTAATGCCCAACACAGCATCTCACAATAGCTATTTTAAAACCCTATAACCACTGATCAATTAAATAATTATACAGTGTCAGATAATGGATAATATGTTAGAAAGAATAATTCAATGGCCAGAAATAATAAAGTCTTAGAAGTTTGGGGGATTGCCTCAGGACCTTGAAGACTCAATGTCTTTTTAGGATATAATGCATATTTCAGAGACAGTGGCAGCAAAGACAGAGAATAATTTTTTAAATGTGATCTAGGAAAATTTCCTCTTGATTTTCTAGTTCCATTAAATGTACAAAAGTCACATGTAAAATGTGACAGAGCATGAGTTGTATGAGATGAGGTGAACACTAGAAAAAAACCTTTAAATTAAATTTTTTATAAAACTAATTTTGGTAAAATGAATTATACCTGATCTACTCAAAAGAATAGAAGCCAGGTTGCCCTGAACTATTAAATGTTAATAACTTGGATAAATTAATAAATGGTAATTCCAAAGGACTAAGGTTGGTGAGATATATCCTTACTTCTCTGAATATTTTATTTGTCTCAGAGCTCCAGTTTTTACAAAGGAACATCATTAACATTCAGGATGTGTTCTTCCTAATTTTTCTATTGTGACACGGTCTACATCCTCTGTCTGAGAAGCTCTGCATGTCAGCTGTGAAGATGTTTGGATCGTAACAAAGCAAAGATATATGCTTATGAGAGACAGTCATATCCCTAAGCAGTCCAATGTTAGCCTGGTGTTCAAACCTACCATACAGTGCCAGGTGTACAGCACAGTATCAAACTATCCACACAGTATTGGGTTTCCTAAAATGTGATACCTGAAGATTTTCAAAGGGAACCAATCCTATGTGGTCTCTTTCCTGTCTGTTCCACAGCAAAATACCTACAGTTCAAGTTGGGAAATTAAAAGGCAACCTCCTTTCTTTACAAATTTTCTGAGTTCATATAATGAACTATTGAAAAAAAATAAGTTCACAAATGAACTGGTGTTCCTGTTCAATATTATCAATAAAATTACTACCAAACTGTGGTCACAAGCATAGAAAGATCTTGACAGAAGGCAGAACACTTTAAGTTTAGGCAAGATGATGCTGAGAACTACAAGGCTATGCAGAAAATAATATTATGTACAAGGTTAGCAGTAGTTCGAATTGAATGTGGAAAGGTGTCTTTATAACTACTTAATACAGTTGTATTGTGCATAAATTACAAATATTTGTATAAATATGCAGGCAGCATGTATGTATACACTGCAGGCATAACATGCATGCAATATTTATATATATACAGTACTAGCACAGGCTGTTTGCATCTATTAATGAGTGGAGGGTGAAACGTGGTAAATGTAAGTGTTCTTTGCAACCACCTACACCACATTTCTCAGAGAAGAATTAAATCCAGAATTTTCATATTTGTTCTTCTACTTATTCTACCACCATAAATAATTTAAATATTTTTCATGTATTTGAACATTTATTACTTACAGACAGAATGTATTTTGTTTGCAATTTTTATGTTTGGACTGGTATTCCAAAGTATGATGGTACAACACATATCAAGTCCTATATTCTCTGTTATTGATATAATTACTTCTACATGTAATGTGTACACTTCCAAGTTCTCAAACATGATGAACAGTTCTAAGGCATAGGCATTTAAGACACATTTAACAACTCCTGGTTGCTGTGGGATGGTCTGTATGTCAAGTGTGTTGCTGACTGGTCAATAAATAAATCACTGATTGGTCAGTGGCCAGGCAGGAAGTATAGGCGGGACAAGGAGGAGAAAAAACTGGGAAGTGGAAGGCTGAGTCAGAGACACTGCCAGCCGCCATCAGGACAAGGAAGATGTAAAGTACAGGTAAGCCACAAGTCACGTGGCAAAGGTATAGATTAATAGAAATGGATTAATTTAAGCTGTTAGAACAGTTAGCAAGAAGCCTGCCATGGCCATACAGTTTGTAACCAATATAAGTCTCTGTGTTTATTTGGTTGGGTCTGAATGGCTGTGGGACTGGCGGGTGTCAGAGATTTGTCCTGACTGTGGGCCAGGCAGGAAAACTCTAGCTACACCTGGTCACTCCCATTTTCTTTGTTTCTTCCAGAGTTAGCATAGAACTGCATAGTTTCCACATTAAGTACGTTTATCCATGGTGTTATGGAATAAATACGCCAGTAACATAAAAGAAAGATGAAGTCACAAACCCACAGAGTTCACTCAGTTTTCTATGGCAGAAAAAATAAGGAGAACATGGAGTGCAAGGAAGACATCACACATTCAGGAGTTCTGTGATCAGCTTTTGTGCAGTACCAAGAGTTGTACTGGATGACCACAGGCAGCAGAGAGCACACCCTGTGTTGCTGAAACCAGGGCTGTGATGGCTCCTGGATGGGAACTTACCCTGTCAAGAGCTGCTTTCTCAAGTTCATTTTTGGCTACAGCTAACTTTTGTTCCAGTTCGGTGAGCTGTTGGGCCTGTAACAGGGAAGAAAGGCAGCACATTTCAGTAAACCCTATAATCTACTCTGCACATTTTTCCTCTACTGAGAAAGAATAAAGGAAAAAGGATATAGCCTGTTAGTTAAATTTAAAATTCAGATTAAAAATACAAAGTTACATAGTCATTTGATGTATGCAGAGAACTGTATGATCTGAATGAACAAGGACTGAAGTCTCATGGGTTGAAACGCCTTGTAAAGACTAGCTCAAAGTTTCTTATATTTGTTAGTCCTCTTATCAGATATGTTTCTAGTCCTTAGGGACTGAACTGAATCTCCACAACTTCCTGTGTTGATACCCAACTGTCTATTTGGTTTTTAATTTTTTATTTGGTGATAGAACAATTGAGAATATAATAAGGTTTAAGGTGCTCTCTCTTTATAAAATATAAATGTCAAATACTCAATGTGAAAGTACCATCATCAAATCACCAGAATAGTAAATGTCGTCTCCAAACACTGAATCAAGGAGAACCTGAAAATGATAGTCTAGCCTTGAGGGCTATGTGGACATGGTTCATATGAGCTATCCAGTCTGCAAAATATTGTTGTTATTCCAGTAAGACTAAAATAGCAATGCTTGATCTTCTTCTTTTTAAGGTTTTCCTCCATCTCTCTGTATACTAGCATGTCTCTTCATGTCTTCAAATGTCAAACCAGGGCTCCTTAGTGAAAGTAACAGTGACTTGATATTTGAAAGATGTATATTCCACAAAAACACCAGTTTAACAGCCATGACATGTATGCAGAGGACTGGTGAGTGGGAGCTCGTGGGTCTCTGACTCTTTTGCCTGCTATTGGAACTGTTTTTGGGTTGCCTTGTCCAGTCTTGATACAAGGGCTTTTGCCTTTTCTTCTTGTATCTTGTTTTGTCGTGTTTGGTTGGTGTCTTTTGGAAGCCTGCTCTTTTCTGAAGGGAAAAGGAGGGGAGGGGAGTGGATCTGGGAGAGGGGAGTTGCTGGTGGGGAACTGGGAAGAGTGGAGGGAGGGGAAACAGTGGCCAGGATGTACTGTATGAGAGAAAAATCTATTTTCAATAAAAAGAAAAAAGAAAGATGTATATTCTAATCCTGCCTTGGCTCTGTGATCTTGGACAACAATTTTCGGTCATAAACCATCACTGAATGAAGAACATGAAGCTTGGAGAAGCTCATTACCAACAAACACATAGTATTTGCACCACTTCAGTTTGTAATTCTCTGAGCGTGTTCCTTCCGGTTTATTTTGATTTATATTAAGAGCAAGAAAAATTAAATACATTTATTTCATGTTGTGTTAGTAGTGCTGCACTCTTATTATCTATGGGGATTAATTCAACCATTTCCTAATATAAACAATAGTGACCTTGTAACACATAGGAACCATGGGTTGTGTGCACTGATTACATAATGAAGAAAAAAAATGTCAAAGACAAATGTTTACCTATCTGTATTCGTATAATGGGAGTTAGTGACAGCTGTTACTAAGAAAATGAGGTTAAAAGAGGAAATGGGGGACACAGGAATGTACATTAATCACTTCTTCTCGAGGGCCCTGTTCTTGGGCTGGAGAAATGACTTGGTGGTGAAGACTTATTACTCTTTTAGAGGGCCGAAGTTCAGTTTCCTTTGCCCATGTAAGGTTGTTCATAACATCCCATAAGTCTAGCTCCAGGGGACCCAATATCTGCTTCTGGCCTCCATGGGCATCCACATATACTTGCACATACTTGTGTACATATACATACACATACATAGAATTAAAAAAAAATTAAAACCTTTAAAAAATAAAATTGAGAAAAAAATCAGTCAGGCTTTTTGCCCTGTGTCTTGTAGTTCTTCCAATGAAGAAAGTGTTTACATTCTTGATTCTGAATGAGCTCTTGTAGGTTCCAACTCCTTCCTTGGTCATTGGAATATAGGAAAGTATTTGAGAAACGACATGAGATGGACATGGCAAACTATCTGTTGGAGTGGAGTGGCTCTCATTAAATCCCCATGGAGAACCCAAACTGAGATTAAAGCTGAGCAAAAACAGGCCAATGGAAATACAGAGCCATGCATGTTCCCAGCCGACATCACTAGCTCCCTTCCTCCCCTCATATGCTTGTAATATATCCATAACTGGCTGGTGCTTTCTACCTTTGAGTGTAGGCGGTGTCACAGTACAGCCCATTGTTATAAATGAGAATCATCAAGATAGCTCTCCTGATGAGCACAAACCTAAACTGTGGAAGAAGCAAATCATGAACTGGGTGCTTAAGACTTCCAAAGCAAATAAGCATTGCGCTCTTGAAAACCAAATTTGTTTACATAAAACACACATCAATCAAGAGACAAGAAATAAAACAAGAGGGTGGGGAGGGACAGATATGGCAGTACTTTATCTGTCATGCAATTATACACTTTTAGAGCATTAAGAAAAAGGGATGCATCAAGGCTTGCAAGACTGCATTTGAATGTAACACCATCTAGTCATCTGAATAGGTGCTGTTATATTCAATTAATGGGTTAACTCTATGCAGACCTCCCTTTTTATCCATCTGAGAGAAAATGTCAGCTTCTGCATTTGCAAATCATTGTCCAGCCTTGTCATCCTTACTCCACAGGGACAACAGATCCGAGATGGAGGGAGACAAGTTCCTGATCAGTGGACATGGAAAAGGGGGTTTGGTAATTAGTTTTAGTACATTGAGCAAAGTATTTAATCCCTACAAGCCCAAGTTTCTTTTTCTATATACAATAAAACCTTCTGTAAAATAATTAAAGAAATAAAATCAGCCCAAAGTAACATACCAACACTTAATAAAGAAGGTACTTTGTTGACCTCCACTTACACAACATGAATAGGAGCCAATGTAGCAATCGAGTACGTTCATTTCAGGACAAGAAAAATGAATTCCAATAAAATACAACGTTTGGGTCTAAAAGAATGATTATGAGCCATCCCCTAAGGATTTCAGTTGTTTTTTTTTTTTTTTTTTTTTTTTTTACCATCCCTGAGATCTTACTGAGTGTGAGCAAGTGCATAAGTGAGAAGGTTACAAAGAGAGTACTGATATGTTGTCCTGGCTTTTGAAGGAGCAGCTGCTATGCCAATTGACACAATGTGTCTATATTATACACAAGAAAGTTCCTGTAATAGATACAACACCAGAAGACTTATGATAGTCAGGGCACTTAGCCAGAGAGTAAACTGGTTAATAAAGTTAACTTTATAAAGTTTGCTTGAGAAAACATAATTCATTCTGGATTAAAATATGTTGCCACCTCAGAAAACCCAGTATTGATTTCAGAGGAGCTTTCATTCTCAGTTAATCATTAGCTAATACTTGTGACACGATTAATTATTTTCCAAGTCTGAAGCAAATCAGAGTGAAAAAAAGAGAAAGAATCATGCACAATTAAAGTTGCCTTATGAAACTTAAATAGCTAAACCAGAGTTGAGTGTCAGCGACAACTGACGGAGGGAGGGCATCTCAGTGTGCCTGGGAGAGTCACTTGGACAACAGCATAACCAAGCCATCCATTTTCTCACAGGTACCCACCTTCACTAGGAGCTGCAAAACTGCTGGTGGGAGAGACCTCTTATTTCCTGGATGAGGCCCTAATCCTGTGTGGTCAGCTCTAAACACTTGCAAATAAGGGCAAAACTAACTGGACGTGTGTGTGTGTGTGTGTGTGTGTGTGTGTGTGTGTGTGTGTGTGTGTGTGTATGTGTGTGTGTGTGTGTGTGTGTGTGTGTGTGTGTGTGTGTGTGTGCAGCAAAAATAACTGTAGACATGAAGACAGGATGGGGCCTGGTCGGAGTTGGAGAAGTGACAGAAAAGGGTTATAAATGATACAAATACAGTGTATTCATGTATGAGATGCTCAAATAAAGAAAAGAAAACAATGGTTTGGGGCCTAAGTTAGTATCATTTCTTAATTCACTATTCTAAAACTACAACTTCAAATCCCCCATAGAACTCTGATGCTCTGACTCTCAGCATGCCTGGGAACAAGACTTTTCTCCAAGAATTCTCATTGCTGCTTTTCTTCTTTCTTTCCTTTTTCTTTTTCTTTTTTTCTTACTTATTTTTTTGTTTTAAGAATTCACCTTCACATCAGCTACACAATAAAGAATAATAGCAGTTTTGTGATTTTCCTTCTAAGAGCACAAAGGTTCAGCTGTGCACAAATGGACACATTTTATTTGAACTCTCATGCAACTATTTTATAAAATATTTGCACCTGACTAAATCTGCTTGGGTTTAATCCATCATACATTAATACATAAGTCTATGTTTCTGAAAATCTTGTTGATAAAATTATTTCTATTCACTCTCTAAACTTTCTTCCAAGTAAGGGTAGTCTTGGCTCTGTCTTCTTCTAAAAAAGGCTTCTCTGAAGTGTACACATCTACACAGCAGGCTACGGAGTAAGAAGTAAAGAAAGGTATATAAGATAAAGATAAAAACCCAGAGCCAAAGGTAGATAGGATAATTTAAGAAAAGCTGGTTAGAAACAAGCCATGCTAAGGCCAGGCATTCATAAGAAAGAATAAGCCTCTGTGTGTGATTTATTTGGGAGCTGGGTTAGAAACAAGCCAAACTAAGGCCAGGCATTCATAAGAAAGAATAAGCCTCTGTGTATGATTTATTTGGGAGCTGGGTGGTAGGTCCCTAAAGAGCAAAAAAGTAAAAACCAGTCAACAACAGTTGGTTTGTTTCTGGAGCCAAGAAAATGATATTTAAGACTGCATTTAATCTTAAACAAAAGATAAAATCTAGAATAAATTGTGTGTGAGTTTTCACATCATGAGTGTGTGAATGTGTTTGTATTTTGTGTATGTATTTGTGTAGTATGTATGTGTTTGTGTTCTTTGTGTGTGTGTGTGGTTTTTTACACAACAACACAAAACAGTGCAGAAATCCCAAGACTGAAGTTTCTCTTAGGGCATGAACAACAGCAACTAACCTACCACATTCTGTAGAATATTAACTAAAATATAAGTTAA